CGTTCTCGGGTCTGAACTAAGTGCGCGGAGGCACAGGACTGCACTCGACGCGGTGGAGGCGCGGCCGTCGGGCAGGGCCCGGGGGCCAGGCGGAGCCCTGGGACCCGTGTGAGCGCCCGGCCGCGCCCGGGAAAGCCGGGCTCCCGCCGGCCGCTGAGTCCGCGGGGGCCCGGCTGGCTCGCGGAGTCGGGCCAAAGCGTGGTCCCTGCGTGCGGGGGAGTAAGTCGCGGGCTTTATTAGCGGGATTCTGGGCACTTTCGGGGTTGCTTTGGACTAGATGGGTGGGGTGGGGTGTTTGTTGACACGGTGGCCGGGGATGTAACGTCTGCCGTGACTGCCGGGGCCTCATCGCCCACACTGAGGCTCGGGCTGCTCCTCCAGGCGGACGGGGCTGAGTGGGCTCTGCCCGGGACTGTGCCCCGGAGCTGCGAAGGAGCGGCAGCCCCTTGTCGGGGAAGTACCTGTGTGCACTGCACACGGGATTGGACTTCCAGGGAAAGGACCACTGATCTTGCTTGTTTCAGTATAATAACGCGGGGTCATCTGCCAGGGTTTTACGTGTGTGTGTGTGTGTGTGTGTGTGTGTGTGTGTTTGTGTTTTGTTGTTTGTGTTTTAGGCTTCATTGGAGTTTATGTTTGAAAAAAAGAGGCTGAACTTTTGGGCTAAGATGAAAATGGGAAAAGGCGTGCTCCACCTTTTTGTAGAGGTTTCTGTAAATAAGATTAGAACAAAAGATGAATTGTACAATCCAAGGTTATATCTGTCCCTTCAGAGCTGATTATTAATTACTACCTCATTCTACACCATTTTTTTCCACTGTGAGATTTTTTTTAAACTATTGGTAACTTTATTTTAAATTTTCTCATTTTTGCATTTATGTCCACATAATATTTAAAAGCTAGAACTCAGTTAGGTTTGGAAAAGAATAAATATTCAACAAATATTTACTTGAGCACAGTATGTGCCTGAACACTGTTTTACACTCTGGATATAGAACTGAGCCAGACAAGATCTCTCCTCCTTTAGAGCTTACATTCTAGTGGGGAGACAAATAACAAGTACATCAGATGGTAATTGCTAGTCTGAGGATTGATATGCTAGGCTAGAGAGTGGCTGCTTTGGGTTGGGAAATCCTCTCTGAAAAGGGACACTGAAATTGAGATTTAAATGAAAAAAATAAGATCCCAAAAGACAAGGGAAGAGAATTTCAACCGCTTTACTAGTAAGAGGACTGAAGATCAGGAGTCTGGCCGGGGAGGCCGAAAAAAAAATGAGGGAGAGGAAGTGTGGCAGGCAAGAGCTAACTCATATAGGGTTTTGTAAGCCCTGGTGAGAAGTCTGGATTTTATGCTAAACTAGAGGCCCGGTGCACGAAATTTGTGCACTGTGGGGTGAGGGTTATCCCTCAGCCTGGCCTGCACCCTCTCCAATCTGGGACCCCTCAGCAGATGTCCGTCTGCCAGTTTAGGCCCGATCCCTGCAGGATTGGGCCTAAACCTGCAGTCATACATTCCTCTCACAATCTGGGACTACTGGCTCCTAACCACTTGCCTGCCTGATTGCCCCTAACCAAGTGGTTCTCAACCTGGGGGTCGCGACCCCTTTGGCGGTCGAACGACCCTTTCACAGGGGTCGCCTAAGACCATCCTGCATATCAGATATTTACATTATAATTCATAACAGTAGCAACATTACAGTTATGAAGTAGCAACGAAAATAATTTTATGGTTGGTCACAACATGAGGAACTGTATTTAAAGGGCCAGAAGGTTGAGAACCACTGCCCTAACTGCTTCTGCCTGCCAGCCTGATCACCTCCTAACCGCTCCCCTGCCGGCCTGATTGACACCTAACTGCTCCCCTGCCAGCCTGATGGCCCCCAACTGCCCTCCCCTGCAGACCTGATCGCCCCCATCTGCCCTCCTCTGCCGGCCATCTTGTGACAATGTGGAGGCAGCCAACTTGTGATGCCAGGGCATGAGGGTCAATTTGCATATTACCTCTATATTATATAGAATTTGTCAATTTCCTTTTCTTGGTTTCCTGGATTTATTAATTTAGTTCTTCACCTCAATTTATTCTTTATCACATAAGATGACAGAGCATGACATGATAGTTTACTACGCTGCCATTTACATTTTGAATGAAACCTTTTGTTAGTCTTTATGAGTGAACCCTACAGTTCTGCATCTTAAAGGCAGAGCAGGGCCTTGGCTCCATCCTATGAAAGGAGCAGCTGAGACTGTTAAAATAGTGAAAATCTCTTTGAGTTAAGGTGAGCAGATCTGGAATGAGACAGTGAGGAGAAGTAAGGGAAGTCTTCAAAGGTGAAACGTATACCTGACATTTTAGATATTCAATGTCAAATCAATTTGAAGTTATTTGAGGAGGTTCTCTTTTAGGAGTTATGGAACTTAATTGGTATGGCAATGGTGACTGTGGTCATCATCAGAGTTTATAGTCTTATAAATGTTTTTTTTCTGCCAAATTACCCTTATCCCTGCTATGATAGATTGTCCTTTAAAAAATATGAATGTAGGCGCTTTCATTGAACAAATTTTTAAATTGATTCTGGCCCCTGTATATGGATTCAAGTTGCAATTATTTGTATTCAAGGATCAAGTAACTTTTATCTATTTAAAAATTGCAGGATATTTTACTTCAACTGAAGAACATGGTGAAACTAATTCACACATTAGCTGATCATGGCGATGATGTCAACTGTTGTGCCTTCTCCTCTTCCCTCTTGGCTACTTGCTCCTTGGACAAAACAATTCGCCTCTACTCCCTGAGTGACTTTACTGAATTGGCACACTCTCCATTGAAGTTTCACACCTATGCTGTCCACTGCTGCTGTTTCTCCCCTTCAGGACATATTTTGGCATCATGTTCAACAGATGGTACCACTGTCCTATGGAATACTCAGAATGGACAGACATTGGCAGTGATGGTGCAGCCCAGTGGGAGCCCTGTGAGGGTTTGCCGGTTTTCCCCAGACTCCACTTGCCTGGTATCAGGGGCAGCTGATGGAACTGTTATTTTGTGGAATGCGCAGTCATACAAGTTACATAGGTATGAATATTTAAACCCTTTCCGTTTTCAGTCCTTTTAACAGGCCTACGAAAAAAAAATATTTTCATGACTTTAAGATTCAGATAAATTTCAGACATCACAAGGAAAAATATTTTGACCTGTCTTCTGAAGGTCATAAGAACAGATGTTTACTGTGATTCTTGATTTTTGTAGCTCGTTGGCTCAAGTGTTCTTAATAAAGTAATGGCCCTGGCCGGTTTGTTCACTGGTTGGAGCGTCACCTGGGACTGAAGGGTTGCAGGTTCAGTTCTGGTCCAGGGCAGGTACCTCGGTTGCAGGCTCCATCCCTGGCTCTGGTTGGGGTGCATTCGGGAGGCAACCAGTCAGTGTGTCTCTCTCACATCGATGGTTCTTTCTCTGTGTCTCTCCCCCTCCCTTCTACTCTCTCTAAAAGTCAATGGAAAAAATATCCTCGGGTGAGGATTAACTAATAATAATAATAATAATAATAATAATAATAATAGTTGGTATGTCTCACTTTAAGAGACACAACTATTTCCTTACAAGATTCTTGCTGGGTGAAAGACCTAAGCCCAGAAGGAAGAAGCTTGTGATTAGAGTGGTATTGTATTATCATTTCTTAAGAAAAAACAAAACAAAAAACCCCAACACCTGAAAACTCCTGTTGGATAAAAATACATCAATTAATTTACATGAGTAATGTTGAACTTACCAACATTAAAACTATGTACTTTTGTGTACTTACATTGTGGTGAAATGTTTATAACACAAAATTTACCATCTTTAAGTGTACAGTTCAGTGACATTAAGTACTTTAGAAACCATAAACATTTAATTGTTACCAATTAAAATAGCCTAATGTACCTTCCCCTCTCCCTACCCCTCAACATCATTCAGAGCACAAATGCCAGCTGGTAAACAAGTGTTGCTCATTTAGGTTTAGGTCTTTGGGTTGAAGAAGCTGATGTGTTTCAAGTGATGTTAATAAACTGTTTAAAGAGAAAGCACAGAAAGAATGGAATGTCTTTAAGTCATATTCTAGAAATGAAATAGAGCTGTCAGCTGAGGAATCTTTTTGAATTCTGCCTCTATAGCATTAGTTTACCAATGTATGTGATTAATGATATAAAATGATACTGCTATAGATTTGAGCACTGGATGGGACTCTGCACCAATCATTGTTTTTTTACTAGTTTATTTTTCCTAAATGAGAAAATGATATTGTTAGCACACTAGCACAGTGCTTCTTCATCTTCCCAACATCATTTTAACTCGTTAACAGCACTTTCTTTTCATAAAGAATTTGCATTTGAAGATGAGGTGAAAGGCCTTACTATTGCTTTTGGGTGATTTTAATACAAAAGTTGAAAGTACCTTTAAACCCAATAGCATGTTATTCAATAAAAATAGTTTCATCGCCCTGGCCTGTTTGGCTCAGTGGATAGAGCGTCAGCCTGTGGACTGAAGGGTCCCGGGTTTGATTCCAGCCAGGGGCGCATGCCTGGGTTGCGGGCTCTATCCCCGGTGGGGGGCGTGCAGGAGGCAGCCAATTGATGGTTCTCTTTCATCATTGATGTTTCTCTCCCTATTCCTTCCTCTCTGAAATCAACAAAGAAATATATTTAAAAAAAATAGTTTCATCTTTTAAAAAAATATGTGACTAATTTATGTTGTTGGGTGTCATCACTTTTGTTAAGTTTTGTATACAGTGGGGCCTTGACTTACGAGTTTAATTCGTTCCGTGACGAAGCTCGTAACTCAAATTACTCGTATGTCAAATCAACAGTGAACGAGTGAGACACGTGATGCTGGGCTGATGTTGTGGCGTTCACTGTGACGTTCGCTGCGCCAACTAGCGGTGGGGTATCTGAAGCTGGCTCGTAACCCGAATTTTAGCTCGCAACTCAAAGCAAAAAATCGGCCGAGAGACGGCTCGTATCTTGAAAAACTTGTTAGTGGGGACACTCGTAAGTCAAGACCCCACTGTATCTTAATGTGTCCATACATACCGACTTGCTGTTCAGGAAAATAATATGAAGGTATGTGAACTTTGGTTCGGCTTGAGCATGTTAGTTAAGATAATATTTAAATCCTCTTATTTTTAGAAAGCAGGATTTAGTTTATAGCGTAAAAAATATTTTATTTCTATAGGCATTTATAACCCTTTCTTTCTGGTTCTGTAATAGCCAAGAAATTGTGCTATAAATAAAAGGTGCTAGGAAATGAAAACCTCCTTTTTTGCTTTTATTCCAGATGTGGTAGTGTTGAGGATGGCTCCTTGGTGGCCTGTGCATTTTCTCCCGACGGAAACCTCTTTGTCACTGGCTCCTCATGTGGAGACTTAACCGTGTGGGATGATAAAATGAGATGTTTGCATAGTGAAAAAGCACATGATCTTGGAATGACCTGCTGCGATTTTTCTTCACAGCCAGTTTCTGGTAGTTATTTTATTCCTTTAAGCACTAGTGAGTCCTGTTTGTAATTTGTATATGACTTTTGGTTCTAGTTTCATCAAACAAAGAGCCCTTTTATTCATTTTAAGGAATCATCCTTTTCCATTATGTTTTCTAATCGCATTGAAATTACAAAGAGATATTATATGTGAAATCAGACTCTTTAGTATATGTATATTTTTGGTACTAGGTCTGTGAAATCTGGTGTGTATATTACGTCACATCTCAGTTTGGACTAGCCGCATTTCAAGTGTTCTGTAGCCACATGTGGCCTGGCATTACCTTGTTGGCTAGCTCAGGTCTAGACAGTAGCAGGATGGTATTGGCATTCCCCTATTTCAAACCCATCATGGCTTGTTAAAATAATGTTAAAGTAAGATAAACTGTCATATCCCAAAACACAAGCCCTATAAGTACATGTTCTGTTTCCCTGCCTCATCTCAAATCACACGTGGCCTCATGCATTTTCTTGCCACACTGGCCTTCTTTCATGTCTTCAGTGTTTCTAAGATTTTTCCAAGGGTTTTCCATGTGGACCCTTCACCTGGTTCACTCTTAATCCTCCTTTAGATTTCAGCTGGAAAGAAGTCACTCTAGATGAGCCTCCCCTGCTCTTACTTCCTAGACTCAATTTAATTAACTCACCGCTAATTCCTTGGTAGGGCCAGACCAAATGATTTCGTGGACCTTATACGGCCCTTGGGCTGAAGGTTCCCCACCCCTGAATTAATTGAATAGAATTATCATGTCAGTATAAGAAAGTGAAATATTTTTGGTTTAAATGTTTTTATCAAATATTGTGTACTTATTTTTAGATGGAGAACAAGGTCTTCAGTGTTTTCGATTGGCATCATGTGGTCAGGATTGCCAGACCAAAATTTGGGTTGTTTCTTTTAGCCATATCTTAGGTATGTATTCAACTAGTAGTTCTCTAAAATTGTTTGTGATCCAGATAAAATTTCTATTTTAATTGATCTTTTTGCCTAAGGTCCTCTGGATATTTAAGAGTGATTATTGAAATGTTTTAAGAACTTTTAACCAGAGTAAGACATACAAATGTTTTAAAAAGTTTGTGCTGACTGCTGATTGTGACCTTACTGCCAGCACACAGAGAGGTAACTACACTTTGCACTTTATCTGTTTTCAACTCTTTAGGTGGTTTTCACACAGTCTATAAATACGGTTTTTACTACTAGATTTTAAATTTATTCACTGTAGTTATTGTTCATTGTTTTTCTTGAGTCTCTTCCTCGTGCATTGAACTATTCCTTCAGGTGACCCTTTAGTGAAGAAACTGAAGTCATTCAGTTTTGGAACAGTGTCCCTTTATGTTATTTCTTTATTAATTTCTTCTCTCCTTCCTCTCTTTGTATAACTCCCATTAATTGTGTTGGACCTTCTGACATGATTTTCTATGATTGTTTCCCCCACCACCACCACCTCTCACATTTATCTATTTATCTTTTTGTCTTTTTTTCTACTTCACTGAAAAATTCCTCAGCTTTATCTTTAACCTTCTTTGAGTTTTTTCAACTCATCGATCACATTTTCAATTTCTAAAAGCTCATCTCCTCTATTTCTTTTTCATAGTGTCCTCCTTTTATTTTATGAATGCAAGATCTCTTAAAAGCTTTTAGGATATTAATGAGAGGCTTTCTGTTTTGTTTTTAAGTTCCCTTGTGTCCTGATCATCTTTGTTTGCTCTTGGGCTGTTCTTTTTGTTGTTTGTTTGTTTGTTTTTTGTTTACCCTGATCTTTCTCTTTCTTGTAGTTACTTAAAGCAAATGTCTGGTGGTCTTGTATTCCATTGACATTTAAAAATTAGACAATAGGATGTTTAGAAGCTCTGTGCACATGGTGGTTTGTTTTGCTGACTTCCCTTTAGTATGAGGAGGTGGGTAGTTGACCCTTATTGGGGAGAGGTTGGGAGCTTAGAGAATTTGGGGGTTCTGACCTCTGGAACTGCCCTGGAGCTCCCCTGGCAGTTATTTTCCTTAGAAATGTTTGCCTGGGGAAGAGCATCTGGCTGTGGAGCAACATGCTGTGGCAGGTCAGGGAGGAAGACACTGAGTGTTTCATAAACAGACTTTAGTTACCTTTTCTATTTCCAGGTCTATATTTGTGTCGTTCAGACTTTCCTTTCCCCCAGCTGTTGATAATCCCAAATCCTTTGGAGTTTCCTAGGGCAGATTAGTTTTCTCTAGGCATTCTGGGCTATTACTCCTCTGAACTATCTATTCAGTTAATTTCCTTTCTGCCTTCCCAAAATTGGTTTCAGTTTCTGGTTTGCTGATGCCCCATTCCTGTTCTCTTCATTGATGTGAATTTATCTTTATTCCTTTATTAACATATTTTTTTATTTTTATTTTTTAAATATATATTTTATTGATTTTTTACAGAGAGGAAGGGAGAGGGATAGAGACTCAGAAACATCGATGAGAGAGAAACATCGATCAGCTGCCTCCTGCACACCTCCCACTGGGTATGTGCCCGCAACCAAGGTACATGCCCTTAACCAGAATCGAACCTGGGACCCTTGAGTCCGCAGGCCGACGCTCTATCCACTGAGCCAAACCGGCTAGGGCAATATTTTATTTTTTTAATATATTTTTATTGATTTCAGAGAGGAAGAGAGAGGGAGAGATAGATAGCAACATCAATGATGAGAGAGAATCATTGATTGGCTGCCTCCTGCCCGCCCACACTGGGGAGCAAGCCCGCAACCTGGGCATGTGCCCTGACCTGGAATCGAACCATGACCTCCTTGTTCATAAATCGACGCTCAACCGCTGAGCCATGCTGGCTGGGCCCTTTATTACCATTAATGGGAGCTCTGAAATATATGGTCAATTGGCCATTTGCTTTAGACACCTAAAATATTCTTACTGTATTATCTAATAAGCTTCAGTTATATCACAGACTACATTTTGTTCATAATTATTGTGAAAGATAAGCAAAGTGGGGACAGTAGTTGAAGTGGTAAGCACAGATTTTAACCAGTAATACACTGTTGCAATAGGGAAAAGAGTCCACCATGAACTGAACTCAACCTCAGGTTATACCGAGGTAACTGGGCATTTTAAAGGAAGAAGGAAGGTGGGGGTGTTGATTCATGTGAAACCCATCTTGGTTTGCTAATTGGAACTTAAGGAAGTTAAACTACTAACTTCCTACAGGGCCTGGGAGTCAGGAACCCTATCTTCAGGTGTTGGATGAAATAAATAGTAATTTTTTGACAGCCTTGAGTTTTCTCATGCAGGCACTTTAAGGAGGCTAGAGTCATGCTGGGGATTCAACCTTGGGCTCTTAGAAACTATGTTAGTCTTTATAGGCCAAGATCAAGGACTAGTTGAGAAGACAACTCAGAAGAATCTGGCAGAGTTTTTTCTTTTTTTTTTTTATAGGGCGTAATGTCACAGGAAGGCCACAGTATTCTGCCACCCATGAGGAGTAAGCCCAAGTTGCTGTTGGATGTGTTGTACTCAGAGGAGCCATTCTTCAGGCGCTCTGCTCTCTCCACACCCACCTGGCAGAGTTTGGTCAAAGAGAGACTCTTTGTCATTATACTAGTGTATAAAGAAGGGCCTATTATCAGGAAAGAGATGCATTTCTTTTTGTGGAAATTTAGTTATTTCATTGTGTATTAGGTTACACTTAGTAACTTGCTGAGGAGGATAAGAGTTCCTTTATTTCTCTCATCTATCCTACCTCTGCCTTCTGTTCCTATCAAAGTAAAATTCTTATAAGAAGCCATGAACATAGTCATATATATATATATATAGATGTTCTATATTTGTAGATGTTCTAAACACAATATATTTTAAATAAAATTGTTTCAAAGTAAAGCTTCTTATACCTTGTCTGGAAAATGTGTCTTTACACTGATTCTTTTAAAAATATACATAGCAGCCCTGGCTCGTGTGGCCCAATTGGTTGGGCTTCGTCCATGTTCGATTCCCAGTCAGAGCACAGGCCCGGGTTGTGGGCTCAATCCCCGGTAGGGGGCGTGCACGAGGCAGATAACCAATGTTTTGCTCTCACATGGATGTTCTCTCTCTTCCTTCCTCTCTCTAAAAAATCAATAAAAAATCTTAAAAAGATATACATAACAGTTTATTAATGTTCATTTAAAACATTTTTATAAAGCATTTATGTCATTTGTACCCTATTTTAATTGCTTATCTGTGGGGGAGACTAGATAGACATATGTATCTTATATTTGAGAATATAACCTTTTCTTATGGTCATATTGCAAGTTTTTTGGTCTTCATTTGGTTGGTGGCTTAACATTTTTGCTTTGTTTGATTGATTATGCCTATTTACTGATCTGCATGTTCTAAACAGTGCTTTTAATGCCCATGTCTGTTCTCTCAGATAAAAATGTATTTTTTCTATTTTGAACAGAAATAAAATACATATTTAATAATAAATAAAAACAAATATATTTTTTTTCTTTGTGTGGAAACTTGCTCTAATGATCTTTTTGTTTAGTTAAGTACTTGCTATTTTAAGAGCCAGTAACACTTCAAAAAAGTTTTCATTTGGTCTGAGAAAACTATAGATTTCACTTAGTTCCTTGTCCTCTCCCACCCCCAGGGCAATTTCTTCTTAATAATTATTTTTATAGGCTGTTACTAAAATATACTGAGTTCCTTTAAAATAGTTGTGATATTTCTTTTCAAGAGCTTATAGAAAGCAAAAGATTTTAGTGTTACCATACTTGGTAGGCATAAGATATATTGGAATTATAAGATGTATAAATTACCATTGATTATTTTTCATGTATGAAATGAGAAAATATTTAATATCAGATTTTAAAAACTACTGCTATTTGATTCTTTTTAGGCTTTTGGGAAATTGATATATGTATATTATTAACTGATCCTATATAATAAAAGCCTAATATGCTAAGTGTCCGGTCATCCGGTTTTCCGTTCAACCAAAGTGTAATATGCTAATGCTATGCTAAGGCCACTCAGCTGCTTGCTATGACATGCACTGACCACCAGGGGGCAGACAGTCAACCGGTGGACCAGTCATTATGACGTGCACTGACCACCAGGGGACAGACGCTCCAACTGGTAGGTTAGCTTTCTGCTGGGGTCTGGCCGATCAGGACTGAGCGAGACAGGCTGGACATGCCCTGGAACCCTCCTGCGGCCCTTCCCAGCTGGCCAACCTTCCATGTCCCTCCTTGGCCCCAATCGTGCACCGGGTGGGGTCCCTCGGCCTGGCCTGCACCCTCTCACTATCCGGGATTCCTCGGGGGATGTTGGAGAGCCAGTTTTGGCCCAATCCCGCAGGCCAGGCCGAGGGACCCCGCTGGTGCACTAATTCGTGCACCGGGCCTCTAGTCTATATAATAAAAGCCTAAGCGACTGTTATGGCAGAATGACCAGTTGCTATGATGCGCACTGATCACTAGGGGGCAGACACTCAATGCAGGAGCTGCCCCCTGGTGCTAAGTGCACTCCCACAGGGGGAGTGCTGCTCAGTCAGAAGCCGGGCTCACTGCTGGCAAGTGCAGCAGCGGTGGCAGGAGCCTCTCCTGCCTCCGTGGCAGCACTAAGGAGCAGCGAGCCGGGCACTAAGAATCAGCGAGCTGGGCAGTAAGGAGCAGTAAGCAGGTGGGCGGTAAGGATCAACGGGTCCCGGACTGCGAGAGGGCACAGGCTGGGCTGAGGAAACCCTTCCCCCCCAGTGTACGAATTTTGTGAACTGGGCATCTAGTATATTTAATATTATTAAATATATTTTAAAATCAAATACAAAGATTACAATATACTTTAAATTTTTATATATTTTTAAAAATTGATAATTATAGCAATCCCCTGTCTAATGTTTGCTGAACACACCATTTTCTTTACCTATTTCTGAACTTTTGAAACTATTTAATCACACTACATTCCAATATCTGAGTTGCATGGGAATTTTTTTTATTTGTGTTCTGTAGGCACTCAAAGATTAATTGAATAAATAATTGTGTAATAGCTTTGACATAAGAATGAATTCTAAGGGTCAGCTTGCTAATTTTCTCACCTTATTATTTGCAGGTTTTAAATTAAAATATAAAAGTGCACTGAGTGGGCACAGTGCTCCTGTTCTGACTTGTGCTTTTTCTTACAATGGGCAGATGCTAGTCTCAGGGTAAGCTATTTAGTTGTAATTTCCTTAAACCATTTTGATATGAATTAGTACAGACATTTACCATATAGATATGGGTTTATGTCTGGACTCTGTTCTGTTCCATTGATCTTTGTGTCTGTTTTTATACCAGTACCATGTACTATAGTCTTATAACATAGTTTCATATCAGATAAAGTGATACCTTCAACTTTGATAGGGATTGCATTGGCTCTGTAGATTGCTTTGGGTAGTATGAACGTTTTAATGACGTTAATTCTTCCTGTCCATGAGCATGGTATTTGTTCAGTCTTATTGTTTGCTATTCCCATATGTGAACTCTTGCTTGTTGTCCTAATTTCTGTTTTCCCAATACAATGCTTTTAAGATTACTAATCATGATCCAGCTTCTCATTTATATATCTTTAGGATGGATTAATTTTAATTGTACCAGTGGTAGTCTCAGAAATTGGAATTTTCTTTTAGTTTCCTTTTTTGAGGATGCTCAGAAGTAATGGACTTTTCCCTAAGAATTTGATATTCCAAAAACAATACCTTGGCCCTAACCGGTTTGGCTCAGTAGATAGAGCATCGGCCTGCGGACTGAAGGGTCCCAGGTTCGCTTCCGGTCAAGGGCATGTACCTTGGTTGTGGGCACATCCCCAGTAGGGGGTGTGCAGGAGGCGGCTGATTGATGTTTCTCTCTCATCGATGTTTCTAACTCTTTATCCCTCTCCCTTCCTCTGCCTTCCTCTCTGTAAAAAAATCAGTAAAATATATTTTAAAAAACAAACAAACAAAAAAACAATACCTTGTACTGTAAGGGATTTAAGACTAAATAAGAATGTCTATAAATTATGTCTAGCATATACATACTCAACTAATGTTAGGTATGAGTATGATTTCTTAGTTTTTTGACTGAAATTTAACACATAATGCTATAACTATGTTTGTTTTTTTTGGCATCCAAATGCATTTATATGATTCCCATTTTCTTGTATTTTATTTTACATTTGAACATTTAAAGTATAATTCTTATTTTGAGTGTATGACAAGATGCTGCATTCAAGATGCATTATCAACACTCAATAGCCTACTAAACAAGGAATTTTAACTCTTATTGAAAGGAATTTTGCCCTAACCGGTTTGGCTCAGTGGATAGAGCATTGGCCTGTGGACTGAAGGGTCCCAGGTTCGATTCTGATTAAGGGCATGTACCTTGGTTGTGGGCACATCCCCAGTAGTGGGTGTGCAGGAGGCAGATGATCAATGTTTCTCTCTCATCGATGTTTCTAACTCTCTATCCCTCTCCCTTCCTCTCTGTAAAAAATCAATAAAATATATTTTTTTAAAAAAGAAAGGAATTTTAAGGCTTCTATAGGTATGATTCCTGTGGTCAGACTATAATCAGCTACCTTTTAATAATAAGTACAAATATTATTAAAGTTGTACAGAGGGTGGTAACACTTGTTGTGTTTTCTTGCTTGCAACATATATCATGAGGTATAAACATCATTTCCAAAAGGGGAAAATACCATATAGGGCATATTTATCTGTTGTTTTTAATTATGTACTTTGTATAGTATTGCCTTTTTTTGTTTGATGATTTTTTTCCACCACTGGAATAATCCCTGGTGATTTTTGATGTGAGAGATGCACATCAATTGATTGCCTCCCACACGTGCCTGGACCAGGGCGGAGGATCAAACCTGAAACCCAGCTATGTGCCCTTGACCAGGAATTGAACCGAAGACCCTTCGATGTGTAGGTCTATGCTCTAACCACTGAGAACACTGGCCCTGATGGTGGTTTTTAATTTTTATACCATTAACCTAAGCCATGTAGAGTTCATATCAAGTTTAAAATTATAATTTTCAAAAATGGGTCACAATCAAGACATATATATTGATTAGTATTAAGGCACAACCATATCAATGATAAGGAACAATGCTATCTGAAGCAAAAACCAAGTAGCAAGTAATACCTTTTCCTTGTAGTGGTTTTTCCCTTTGAGTTACTAACTTGAAATGGGGTTGTGTCTTATTTATACATAAGAAATTCTTATTCTCTTTATGCCTTATATAGTATATATAAGTTGCATATGCTAGTGTTTAATAAAGATTATAATTTTCTGATAAATTTCATATATGGCATGTAGTTGTTTAAATAAAAGTTCATCATATAAAAAAAGTGCATTCTAAATGTGTATCAATATTTTAGCCTTTTCTGAAAAAGTTATTTAAATGATTTTAAAATACTAATTAAGTAGATACTATACTGTTTTTATAGAATTTTTCACTCATACTTTTTTTTCTTTTAAAGATCAGTGGATAAGTCTGTTATAGTGTATGACATTGTAAGTATTTAAAAATCTTGGTGTGTGATCTGTGTAAAGTATGTTTATTTATTAGGCTACTGAACGTCAAGTTTAGTTAGGCAAGATGAAAAAAATATATACTTTTTTCCTGTTTAGCGTGCCCAATAATATAATATAAACATTTTCAGAGATGCGGAAATAGTTATGCAAGTAAGGTACTAGTTCTGGGACAAGTCCTTGAATATTTCAATAATGATTTTAAAGTGGAAAGATGTTTAATCTGAGCAGAGAAAATGCAGATGTAAAGAGCATCGATATCCAAAATACTGCTTTATAGCAATTATTCTTAAAGTTTTACACCAGGTTTTCATAACAACAAAGGGTGAATGTTTTACCCCAGGATATGTTAGGGTACAGCTGAGAGTGGCCAACCACTGTTTGAGTCCTGGCTAGATTTAGAGACCATTATGAGAAAGAGTAGGTTATAATGTTTTTGGGGAGAATGGGAGTTTTGGGTAGAACCATATGAATAAAGACCAGGTTGCACGAGTATGAAGAAAAATCAACATTCACATATAGTGAAGATGTAGTTAATTAAAATATTCTCCAGGAGAAGTCAGTGTTGAGGAAAGACTTATTCTGATAGTGGAGGGCCAGCTAAGTGTATTCAGAATCTAAGTGACTAATTTCTACTCACTGGTTTTCCAGTAGGTGCAAGTCAAATGCCAGAGCAAAAATATAAATTATTTCACATAATAGATGTTTAGGTTATTATCAGTAAGTTCAAACACATCAGCAAAAGTCAAGAATACATTATACTAAAAATTTCTAGGAAAGTGGGCAGTAGACAACAGTGCTGATAATTAAAGAGTGAAATAGGTACCTGATAATTTTATTAGGTGTAGATGCTATTTTTTTATTCATTGGGTAAAGTTTCAACCTATATTAGTAACTAATAATATTAAAACACATAGAGTATATAAACCATTTATGTCAAACAATTTTTTGTTATTAGTAACTTTTGCCTGAGTAAATATAAAGCAATTTTTTTGTTGTTTTGTTTTTCAGAATACTGAAAATATACTTCACACATTGACTCAGCATACCAGGTTTGAACTTAACCTTATTTTGTATTAATATAATTAAAAAAATAGTATGAGGATACATAATAGTTGTTTTTATTAACTAGGTATGTCACAACTTGTGCCTTTGCCCCCAATATCCTTTTGCTTGCTACTGGTTCAATGGACAAAACAGTGAACATCTGGCAGTTTGACCCAGAAACACTTGGCCAAGGTTAGTAAGGACATTATATTTAACCCAGTTCAACCCCGTTCACCTCTAAAATCAGAAATTCACTATTTATTTTATTTTTTACTAGTTATTATTGCTTTTCTCAGTATAAAGTATACATCCTTATTTAAATATAATTTAAAAATAGTTTTAGAGAAGACAGTGTTAAAGTAGTTACCTATGTTAAAACTCTCAATAAATACTTTGGGTGCACACTCATGTATATCACATGTCCCATAGTTTTGTAAGCTATTTATACTCCATACTCATTTTTTCAAAATAAATATAGCCTGCAAACAAAATAGAAATTATAGTTTTATTTTTGGCCTCATCAAGCAATGCTGACACATAATTTAAGAGTTTTATTTATTTTTATCACTGCCAAAATTAACTAAATAGTGGAGCTAATATGCAGATGAGAGAGCCAATAGAATTCTTTTCCTGATAAGTATTTTATAAAATAAAGAAAAATTGTTTTTATTCAGCAAAAAAAGTTCCAAAAGAGTTGTATTTAATGTATTAAATATCACTTTAATTATACATGCTATTTGATGTTCTGAAAAATTTTAAAGGGATGTTAAAGTAGTAAAACACAGATTTAAGGACATTTTATTTACTTTTTAATATATAAAGGAAACCATTTTTTGTTGTTATTATTTCACTTGCCTATTTGTTTGTGGGATTGTTTTGTTTGCTTTTTAAGCAAGGAGCACAGAAGGGCAACTGAAACAGTTCACTGAAGATTGGTCCGAAGATGATGTCTCAGCGTGGCTTTGTGCACAAGATTTAAAAGACCTTGTTGGTGTTTTCAAAATGAATAACATCGATGGGAGAGAATTGTTGAATCTTACAAAAGAAAGCCTGGCTGATGATTTGAAAATTGGTAAGATTATGAAAGATTATATCTTTGTAGAGGACAATATATTTTCACTAGCTTATGGCAGCGATTTTCAACCTTTTTCATCTCATGGAACACATAAACTAATTACTAAAATTCTACGGCACACCAAAAATATATTATTTTTTGCTGATTTGATAAAAAATACGTGTAATTTTGATTCACGCACACCAGACGGCTATTATTAGTTGGCTGTTGTCATTTTGTTATTTGCCAATCTAAGGGAAAGAGGTCAATGCCCCTGACTAAATAGTTAAGATATTGCATGTTCTAGAAATTCTTGCAGCACACTAGTTGAAAATTGCTGGATTATGGAAAATAAATGTTTAGGTAACTTAAGCCACCATGTAACTGTAATTTTAGGGAGGCTGGGTGAAAAAGTGAAGAGATTAAGCAGAAAAAAAAGCACACAACCTCATAGACAAATACATAGACAACAGTATAGTGATTACAGAGGGGAGAAAGGAAAGAGTGGGGAGATAGAAGAGAGTAAAGGGAGCATAAATGGTGGTGGAAGGAGAGTTGACTTGGTTTGGTAAGCACAATACAATGTAAATGACATGTTGTAGAATTGTACCCCTGTAATCTATATAATTTTATTAATCAGTCACCCCAATAAATTCAATAAAAAACTAAATTTAAAAAATATTTTTAAAATTTGAGATGTAATTACATGATAAAAATCACCCTTTTATAAGCGAACAATGCAGTGGTTTTTAGTATATTTATGGGGTTGTACAACTACCACCACTATCTAATTTTGAACATTTTCATCACTTCAAAAGAAACCCCATGCCTGTTAGCAGTCACTCCTTATTCCCTTTCTCTCTAGTCCCTGGCAACTACTAATCTATTTTCTGTCTCTAAAGATTTGTCTATTGTTTGTTGTTGTTGTTTTACTTGTATTTTATTCAGACAAATTAAACATTTCTTTCATTTCTACATCTTTATTTGGTTTCTTCTATTTTTTTTAATTCTTTAAGGATTTGCCTGTTCTTGACATTTCATATGGCCTTTTGTGTCTGGACTCTTTTACTTATTAGCAGATTTTCAATGTTTATCCATGGTGTAGCATATGTTAGTACTTCATGACTTTTCATGACTGAATCTTGGTTTTTTTCCAAATTTATCACTTTTTGCTACCCATTCTTCAGTGGATTGAATTTAGATTGTTTCAGCTTTTTAGCTGTTATAATAATGTGGCTAGGAAATTCATGCACAAGTTGAGTGAGCATCTGTTTGCAGTTTTCTTGGCTGTATAATTAGGAATGGAATTGGTAGGTCAGATGGTAACTCTGTGCTTACATTTGAGGAACTGCCAGACTATTTTCCAAAGCACCTGTGCTATTTTACATTCTCACTAGCAATGTATACGTTTACAATTTCTCCATATCATCAACACTTGCGTTTGCTTTCTAAATTATAGCCCTCCTTTTGGTTTCTCATTGTGGTTTTGATATGCATTTTTCTGGTGATTAGTGTGCTTGTTGGCCATTTTTATATCATCTTTGGAGAAATGTCTATTCAGATCCTTTGCCCATATTAAAAATAGGTGCCTGGCTAGGTGTGGCTCATAGTTGAGCATCAACCCAGGAACCAAGAGGTCACCGGTTCGATTCCCGGTCAGGGCATATGCCCGGGTTGCGGGCTTGATCCCCAGTAGGGGGCATGCAGGAGGCAGCCAATCAATGATTCTTTCTCATCATTGATGTTTCTATCTCTCCCTCTCCCTTTCACTCTGAAATCAATAAAAATATATTTAAAAAACAAACAAACCAAAAACTAGGTTGTTTTTTTATTGTTGAGTTGTTTATATATAAATTTAGATGCTAGACCCTTATCAAATATAAATATTTTTTCCCTTTACTACACAAAAGTATTAAATTTTGATGAAGTCCACTTTATCTGTGTGTTTTTTTCCTTTTGTTGCATATACCGTGGGTGTAATATCTAAGAAACCATTGCCTAATCCCAAGTCTCAAAGATTTACACCTATGTTTTCTTTTTTTTTTCTTTTTTTTTTTTAATATATTTTATTGATTTTTTACAGAGAGGAAGGAAGAGAGATAGAGAGTTAGAAACATCGATGAGAGAGAAGCATCGATCAGCTGCCTCCTGCACATCTCCTACTGGGGATGTGCCCGCAACCCAGGTACATGCCCTTGACCGGAATCGAACCTGGGACCTTTCAGTCCGCAGGCCGACGCTCTATCCACTGAGCCAAACCGGTTTCGGCTACACCTATGTTTTCTTCTATGACTTTTACAGATTTAGCTCTTAGATTTAGGTGTGTGATCAATTTTTACTTTATTTTTATAAATGATATAAAGTAGAGATCCAACTTCATTTTTTTTTAGATGTGGATATGTAGTTTTCTTAGCACCATTTGTTGAAAAAAACTGTTCTTTCCCCTTTGAATTATCTTGGCACCTTTTTGAAAAATCAATTGACCATATATGCGAGGGTTTATTTCTAGACTCTTAATTCTATTTCATAGATCTGTTTGTCTGTTATAATAGTACCACACTGTTTTAATTACTGTAGATTTGTAGTAAATTTTGAAATTGAAAAGTGTGTGGGTGTTTTTTTTCCAAGATTGGTTTTGCTACTCTGGGTCCTTTGCATTTCCATATGAATTTTATGCAAAATTTTAATTGCTGCAAAAGAGCCACCTGATATTTCCAAGGATTATATTGAATTTGTAGACTAATCTCAGGATTACTGTCATCTTAACAATGTTAAACTTTTTAATCCATAAACACAGGCTATTTTTCTATTTTTTCAGGTCTTTTAAAAATGTCTTTCAACAAGTTTTTGTAATTTTCAGTGTTCAAGTCATTTTTTTCTTAAGTGTAAAATTCTGTGGTTTTTAGTAAATACATCACTACCTAATTTCAGAACATTTTTTACCCTCCAAAAGAACCCCAGTCTTTTCCAAGCCTCTGGCAACCACTAATCTATTTTTCTCTCTCTATGGATTTGTCTATTTTTGACATTTTTTGTAAGTGGAACCATACAATATGTGGCCTTTGTATCTGGCTTCTTTTATTTAACATAATACTTTTTTAACAGTCATGTTTTTGTGTGTTTAAGTATTCATTCCTTTTTATGGCTGCATAATATTTCATTGTATGGCTATGGATATACCACATTTTGTTTATCCGTTTACCACATGATGGACATTTGGGTTGCTTCCACTTCTTGGCTATCATCAGCTATGCTGCTGTGAACATATATGTCTGTGTTTTTATGTGAATATATGTTTTCATTTGTCTTGAGTATAGTTAGGAATAGAATAACTCTACATTTAACATTTTGAGGAACTGCCAGGCTGTCTTCCAAAGCAGCTGTACCATTTTTCATTCCCGCCAGCAATATGTGAGGATCCCAATTTCTTCATCTTTGTAAGCACCTGTTGTTACCTGTCTTCTTGATTATAGCCATTCTAGCAGATGTGAAGTGGTATTTTATTGTGGTTTTGATTTGCATTTACCTAATGACATGGAGCATCTTTGCAAGTGCTTATTGGCCATTTGTAATCTTTCGGGAGAAATGTCTAAAATTGGTTTATTTGCCTATTTATTGTTGAGTTGTACGAGTTGTTTATGTATTCTGGATACTAGATCCTTATCAAAAACAGTTTGAAGTCTTAGTGTTATGCTCTAATAAACATAAGAAAACAGACACAATTCTCAATATGCTATAGTAAAATCTTAATTAACCAGAAAGTTTAGGAAATAGAATATCTATAATGAGATTTATTGTTAATGAAGAGTCAAATAACAATGTTTATTATCAAGGACCATTTTAAAGTATAGTATTATACTTTCCTTATATAGTAAAGATAGTATGTGAACCTATTTAAATTTCTTGGAGACTTATGGCCTTTTAAGAAGTTAGCAGAATGCTGATTTTGTAAAAATACTTAGGGTTAAATGATTTTGTACGCAGGCCATACAAAAGTTATTTTTGTATCTTTAATAAGTTATTTGTTTTATAATTTACTCTTCCTGAAAGTAGGTAGTATTGTGTAGTGTTGTGTTTTGTTTTGTTTTTTATGTTCTGGTGAATTTAACATCTTCATTAGTAATCTTAACAGTACCTTTCTCGCAGAAACACTTGACAATATAAAATAATAGTTATAGGATTTAACAAATGATGTTTGAAAACACAACAGAAGCATAGTAAAAATTATTAATAGTGATAGAATTTTATTCTGATAGCCAGATAAATAAAGAAGAAATTCTTACAAGATTCAATGACATGAAATAATTTTTGATTAGTAGTTACAATCATTTTAAAGTGTGAAATAAATTTTGAAAGTACTAGGCTCAAGCCAAAATTGAAATACAATTTAAGTAAGTTCTGTGGTGGTCTAATAGCTAATTACGAAAATCATTATGAATGGAGAGAATAATGTTGCACATTCTCTAGTAAATAAGGAATCTGTTTTAAGATTTGGAAAGTTAGCAAATTCAACAAATTAAACACAGAATGAAGTAGTAAATAAATTTGTATAAAAAAGGGGGCATTTACTTTTTTACATTCAAATAAAAGATTTTAATGTTTTTACAAAATTGTAAAGGATAAAGAGGCTAACTTTAATTTTCTACAAGTGCTGCTTTAAGCTACAGTGAATTTCTTGGTTTTGAATTTTAAGCAGACTTTTCCTCAAAACACTAAATTGGAATAATAGAGAATTGAAAGTGGGTCTAGGAAAAAAATGTGTTAAGAGGCAAACTGATGAGTATATGACAGTGAATTTTATTTGCCTTTGTGTTACAACTGTGTTATTTGCCTTTGTGTTAAAGTGGTTCCTATGTCAATATGAATAAATATGAATTTGTTTAACATTCATAATATGGAGGAAGTTGATTAATTGTGCAATAAAGTGTATTGGAGTCTTAGAGACCAAAGTAGTATATCTATTATGTTTGACACTTAAAAAAATTATTTTTAGGGAATCAAGCAGTCCATCAAATATT